CAAAGAAATCAGACAAATCACAGAAATCACAGAAATCACAGAAATCAAAGAAATCAAAGAAATAGAAATCACACAATCACAGAATGACTGCATCACAGAGTGACAGAAATCATAGAAATGACTGAATCTCAGAATGAATCGCTGAATCACAGAATCACTACATCACAGTTACAGACATCACAGAAATCACAGAACCGCACCATCACTGAATGAATCCCTGCATCACACAATCACAGAAATCACTGCACCAGCGCCGAGCCCAAGCTCCGCATCCCAAATGTTCCCTGGATCCAGGATCCATAGGTGGGATCTGAGCCCTGTGACCGCATCTCAGCCTGAACATTCCTGAATTTCCCTGGATCCACCTCAAGCTCTCCATTCCCAATTTTCCCTGGATCCAATCCCCCTGTCCTGACCCTATCCTGGACTGTCCATTCCCAATTTTTCCAGAGTGATCCAACCCACCTCGCTGAACTTCTCTGTAATTTTTTCCAAAGCCAGGAGCTGTCCAACCCCCCTGGAAAAACCCAGGGCAAGAGTGACCTCCCTGGTGCTGGCCACACCTCTCTGGTTGCAGGCCAGGAGCCGTGGGCCTTCCTGGCCACCTGGGCACCCTGCTCGTGCACTAAGGAGCACCGGGCACTCAGTATCTCCGTGCAAAAAAAGCCAATCTGTAACTTTTTGGTGTTATACCCATTTTTGGGCAGTTTTCACACCCTTGTGTACAGCTCTGACTGCTCCAACATCGTTCTGCCCCTCGGTTCCTGGGGCAGTGAATAAACAGCTCTGACACATCCAGCAGATCTCCTGATCCCATGTTCTGGTCATTGATTCCCATCCAGCTGAGCTCTTCTTTTTTTGAATAATTTTCCAGATTTACCAGTGACAGATCAATAATCTCATCCATGTTATCAGTCAGCATTGACCACAATATTTATGTTCACGTTTATGCTTATATTTATTTTTTATTTAATTTTTATGTTTTCACTTACATTTACTTTCACATTTGTATTTTTATTTATGTTTTATTTACAGTTGCATTTTCTTGTATTTATATTTGTGTTTAAATTGAACTTTATATTCATGCTTCCAGTCACATTTATATTTATTTTAATATTTCTATTTATAGCTTTCCATTTATTTTAAAACTTACATTTATATCTTTATATTTGTATTCATGTTTATATTTGTATTTCTGTATTTATTTCTGTACTTTTGTACATATATTCTTATTTATAAGCATATTTTCTATTTATACTTTAATATTTATCATATTTAATTTTATATTGATATTCAAATTTACATTTATATTTGTATTTGTGTTTATATTCCTGTTTAAATTTCAAATTATATTAATATTCACATTCCTATTTATGTTGATATTGATACTTTATATTTTATATTTTTTTTATTTTATATTTGTATTTATTGTATCTGTTATATCTTTCTATTTATCTTTCTCCTCATTTTTATTTTTATTTTAAAGTTTATATTTATAGCTTTACATTTATTGTAAAACTTATACTGATACATTTTTATCTGTAAACATTTGAATATATTAATATTCAATTTTCCTCCTTTAAATATATTTTCACTTAACCTTTCCAATCCATAGAGAAATTCTTATTGTCCATTAATTAACAATAATCATTAATATTAATTATCCCTGTTAATCAGGAATGGAATGTTCCACATTCCTGTAAACTCCTGGAATTTGGGATGTAATTCCCAGGATTCCAGGATGGGGATGGAGCCCTCTGCTGGATCCAGCCCTAGGAAACCTCGGGATGGCTTTCCCGGGAAATATTCCAACTTTTCCAAAGGATTTTGGGAATATTCTCTAATTAAACACCGGTATTTTCACAGAAATCCATGGAATTCTGGGGCTTTGATGGTATCATTCCCATCTTTCCCAAGGAATATCCCAACTTTTCCAAAGGATTTTGGGAATATTCTCTAATTAAACTCTGAGGTTTTCACAGAAATCCACGGAATTCTGGGGCTGGAGCCTCCCTTCAAACCGGGATTTTCATAGAAATCCATGGAATTTCATGGAATTGTGTGGCTTTCATGGCATCATTCCCACCTGTCCCAAGGAATATCCTAACTTTTCCAGAGGATTTTGGGAGTGTTTGAGATTAAACATTTGGATTCTGATCCTGGATCCCCCTGCCCTGCCATCATTCCCTGGAAATTCCTGGAGTCCCTTTCCTACGGGGCTTTTCTCGGAATGGCTCCCGTGGAGTGCTGGGATCTGCTCTCCAGGAATTCCTGGCCTGGAGGGAATCTGGGATGGATCTATGGGATCTATGGGATTCAGGGTTGGGATCTGCGGGATTGAGGCATGGGGTCTGTGGGATTCAGGGGTGGGATCTGTGGGATTCAGGGTTGGGATCTATGGGATTTGGGAATGGGATCTCTGGGATTCAGGGTTGGATCTATGGGATGGATCCATGGGATCTCTGGGATTCAAGGATGGGGTCTGTGGGATTCACAGATGGGATCTGTAGGATTCAGGGATGGGATCCACACCAGGCCTCTCCCAGGCTCCTTTTCCAGCCAGGCTGCAGCTCCAGAGGTTTTCCAGGAATTGTGGAGGCTCCGAGTGACACAAACATGGGATTTTCCTGGGAATTTAGTTTGGGATGGGGCAGATCCAAGGTCCGGCTGGGAACTGGCCAGGAATTGGCCAGGAAATGTCTGGGGTTTTTCTGGGAATTGATTGGGATTGGCTGGGGCTTTTCTGGGAATTGGTTGGGAATTGGCCGGGACTTTGTGGGGTTTTGCTGGGAATTTGCCAGGAATTTCTTTGGAAGAGAGAGGGCAGAGCTGGAATTCCGGATCCACACAACTTGCGAGCTCTGCCGAGGGATTTGGGGGATCAGGCCCGGCCCCGCCCCTCTGCTGCATCCCATAGATCCATCCCAGAGATCCCATCCCTCAGTCCCACAGATCCTATCCCTCAATCTCATAGATCCCAATCCTGAATCCCACAGATCCCATCCGTGAATCTCACAGCTCCTGCTCATGATCCCATTGATCCCATCCCACAGATCCCATCCCAATCCCGTGGATGCCATCCATGAATCCCACAGATTCTGCTAGTGATCCCATCCTGATCACAGCCCCCATCCCCAGTCTGCTCCCAACTCCGCCCTCTTCCTGGGAAATCCACACAGGGTCCAGCTGCAAATCCCCCTTTCCCCGAGATCCCAATCCCAAAGATCCCAATCCCAGGGAACACAAATCCCCCTTTCCCAAACATCTCAGTCCCAGAGATCCCAATACCAGGGACACAAATCCCCTTTCCCAGCGATCCCAATCCCAGGGATCCCCCCTTTCCCACCCGGGATCCCTGGGAAGCAGCTCCGGGGTTATCCCGGGTGAGCCGCTCCCGCTCCCTCGGCAATCCCAGCAATTCCAGTTTTTCCATATCCAGGAAAAACCAGTTCCACCTGGCCTGCCCTGGCCTGCCCCAACATTCCCGGCTCCCTATAAATCTCAGCCAGGCCTTTTGGGGGCAAAATCCCATTTTTAGGGATCCCACTCTCATGGAAATCCTGGAAAATCCCGGAACCAGCCCTGTTTCTCTTGGAAGTGCTGCTGGGATGCTCCCAGGATAATTCTGTGAGTAAGGAATTCATTGATCCCTTTTCCTTTCAGTCTGAGGCCTTTTTTTTTGGATTTTGAGGTGGTTTTCCATCGGAATTCTGTGAGATCAGAGCCCATCCCAAAATTGCATCATCCCTTGGAAAAGCTGCCGTGACAGCCCAGGGAAATACTCCAAATTTTTCCCCAAAATTCCAAATTTATCCTAAATTTACCAAATTAATCCCAAGTTCCCAGCCTGCACCAAACATTCCCAGCTCCCTGTAAATCCCAGCCAGGCCTTTTGGGGGGGAAAATCCCATTTTTAGGGATTCCCCTGGAAATCCTGGAAAATCTCAGAACCAGCCCCATTTCCCCTGGAAGTGCTGCTGGGGAATTCATTGATCCCTTTTCCTTTCATTCTGAGGCTTTTTTTTTAATTTTGGGGGTTTTTCCATTGGAATTCTGTGGGCTCAAGGCCCATCCTAAACTTGCAATAAATTGAGAAATATCCCAAATTTAATTCCAAATTTTCCAAATTTAATCCCAAACATCCCAGATTTAATGCCAAATTTCCCAAACATACCCCAGAGAAATATTCCAAATTTATCCCAAATTCCTAAGGAATAAAGGGAACATTTCCACTTATTTCTTGGGAAAATCCACTTTTTAATTTGTCCATTTCTTTTTGGGGTGGGAAAAAAACCTTTGGAATAAAGGCAAAAAATTAATTTCCTGGGAAGTAATTGCAAGATGTGCATTTTTGGGGCAGGGGAATAGACTTGGTTAAATGGGTATTTATTTTTTTGGGAAGAAACCCTTTGGAGTAAGTGAATTTAATTTTGGGGGAGGAAATCCTTTGGAATAAATGAATTTAATTCTGGGGAAAAATCCCTTTGGAATCCATGCATTTATTATTTTTTGGAAAATCCCTCTTGAATCCATACATTTATTATTTTTTGGGAGAACAATCCCTTTGGAATCTGTACATTTTTTTATTTTGGGGGGGGGAACAAACCCTTTGGAATCTGCGCATTTATTATTATTTTTTTCGGAACAAACCGTTTGGAATCCGTACATTAACCTCATGCCATAAACTCCCTATATTCACTTTTCCTGGGAAAAAAATCCCATTTTCTCGCCGCCAAGCCTCGCACCGAGCGCCTTTCCCTCTCCTAAACCCCCAAATCCCTGAATTTCCCTTGCCAAAAACCTCCCCTGAGCGGCCGGGGATGCTCTGGGATGCGGAGGATCGGGAGAATCCCAGGATTTTGGGTTCTGGCGGAGTCTTCCAGCCCTAAAGATGGAGCTGCTCGGCGCGGCCTCTTCCTGTGCGGCCGGGCGGATCCGAGTTTTTTTTTTTTTTTTTTTTCCTTTTTTCCCCCTTTTCCTGCCCATCCATGTGTTTCTGTTTTGTATTGTCCCGCTCGCCCGCATCCCCGTTCTAAGTGGATTCGGTGGGTGGGATTTGAGGAGGAAAAAAGGAAAAGAGAAAAGGGGGGGAGAGGGGNACGAGGAGGAGGGGAAAAAAAACCGAGAAAAAAAACCCCCAAAATTACCTTTTTTTTTTTTTCCTGCAACAGGAACCGCCACCAAAAATAGTGCAAAGGCCCCGCGCTGCCGCTTTCTTTATGCTGCACCTCTCGCCCTAAAATCAGGTTTGGAATTTGGGGCTCCAAAAGTGGGATTTGGGAGGATGGGGGGAGGCGGATGGGGATGGGGGGGCGGAAAAATGGTTTTAAAAAAAGGTTAAAAAAAAAAAAAAGGCGGATCCACGTGGTGCGAAGGGGGAAGACAGAGATCCCATTGTTCCAGGGAAATCTGGGAATGGGAATGCGGGGGGATGGACGTGGGGGAGACCCCCGCGGGGCCGTGCCCCCTCCCCAGTGCAAGAAATCACCCCCAAATCCCCCAAATGCAGCGGCAGCGCCCCGGGAGCGGCGGGGTGCGGGGCTTTGGGTGTCCCGGGGGGGTTGGGGTGGGGGGTAAAGGAGGGGGCACCCCAAATGCCCCCCGGTGCTCCCCTTGGTCTTCGGGCCCTGGATCCCCTTTGGGAATGCCACCAGCACCCCAAAAGTCCCGGGACACCCCCCGTGCACCCCCAAATGCGAAATCTCCCCTCGTGTGTCTTCCCCGGGCACCCCCTGTTCCAAACCGTCCCTTTGCACCCCCTCATTCCAGACTGTCCCTTGGAACCCCCCTTTTCCACACCCCCTTTTCACCCCTTTTCCAACCCGCCGTTCCAAGTCCCGTTTCCAGCCCCGCTTTGCACCCCCTCCTCTCCCCCCCAGCCCAGGGGTCCCCTCTCTCCCCTCCCCCCGTGTCTCCCGCAATCCCGTTTCCCCCATCCCTCATCCCTCAAATCCCGCTAGTATCTCTTGGCTGGGGGTCACGCTTGTCCCCATGTCCCCCAAATCCCCCCTTTTCCCCATCCAGTGTCCCCCTCAAATCCCCTCGTTTCCCCCATCCCGCATCCCCCAAATCCCCCCGTGTCCCCTGGCTGGGGGTCACCCGTGTCCCCATGTCCCCCATATCCCCACACTGTCTCCCTCTGTCCCCATCCCATCATGTCCCCCATAAGAGGTTCCCACCTCTTATCCCCCCATGGCCACCACTGTGAGTCCCTCTTGTCCCCCCATCTCCCCTCACCCCCTATCCCCCATTTCCCCCGAGCTGGGGTCTCCTCTGTCCCCATCCCGTGTCCCCTTGTCCCCCATGTCCCCTCACCCCGTCACTTCATGTCCCCTCGTGTCCTCCCATCTCTCCTCACGTCTCCCATTTCTCCCACGTCCCCTCACCCCCTGCCCCTCCTGTCCCTCCATGTCCTCTCATCCCTGTCCCCTCATCCCCTCTGCACCCCTCCCACAGCACCTCCCTGCCTGTCCCCATTTCCCCTCACTGTCCCCCCGTCACCCCATAACCCTGCCTGTCCCCATTTCCCCTCACCCCATAACCCTGCCTGTCCCCATTTCCCCTCACTGTGCCCCTCATCCCACACCCCCCATTTCCCTTCTCTGTCCCCATTTCCCCTCGCTGTCCCCCTCACCCCATAACCCTGCCTGTCTCCATTTCCCCGCCGTGTCCCCCTCACCCCACATCCCTCACTGTCCCCCTCACCGCCCGTCCCGCGTGTCCCGGTGTCGGTGTCTATGTGTGTCTGTCTCTATCTGTGTCTGTCTGTCTTTCTCTCTCTCTCAGTGTCCCTGGGTGTCTGTGTCTATCTGTCTCTCGGCCTCTCTGTCTCTGTGGGTGTCTGTCTCTCTCTGTGTCTCTGGGTGTCGGTGTCTGTCTGTCTATCTCTTGGTGTCTCTGGGTGTCGGTGTTTGTCTGTCTGTCTGTCTGTCTGTCCCGCCGGCTGTGGGCGCGCTCGCTGACGCGGCCTCGCAGCCATGCCCCGCAGGAAGGCGGCGGGGCCGCCCTGGGACGCGGCGGGCCCGGGCCCTCAGGGCGGCGGGCGGCGGCGGCCGGGCCCTCAGGCCGGCGGGCGGCGGCGGCCCCGGCCCAGCGGCGGCAGCAGCGGCGGCAGCAGCGAGGAGGAGGCGCCCCGGGAGCGGCGGCCGCGGGACGGCAGCCCCGGGGCCCGCAGGCCCGGCAGGCCCGGCGCGGCGGCGGCGGCGGCGGGGCCCGGAGGCCCCGGGGCCCGCGGGCAGAGCGTGGTGATCTGCGAGCCCGAGCACAGCAAGGAGCGCATCGTGAGCTCGGGGGGAGGGACCCAGCACCCCCTGGCACCTTTCTGGGACCCTGTTGTGCCCCTTTACACACCCCACTGTGCCCCCATTGTACCCCATAACACACCCCCGCTGTGCCCCCATTGTACCCCATAACACACCCCACCGTGCCCCCATTGTGCCCCATAACGCACCCCACTGTGCCCCTGTTGTACCCCATAACACACCCCACCGTGCCCCATTACTCACCCCCCATTATGCTCCTATTGTGCCCCATTACAGACCTCCACTGCCCCTCCTGCCCCACCCCATAGGATGCCCCACCCGTGCCCTTATTGTGTCCCTTTATCCCCTCCACTGCACCTCCTGACCCCCATTCCACCCCAATGCACCCCAAATGCCATCCCAATGTACCCCAAACCCCACTGCACCCAAATTCTACCCCAATGCACCCTCTGACCCCGTTGCACCCCAAATTCCACCCCAATGCACCCTAAATGCCATCCCAATGTACCCCCAAACCCCACTGCTCCCCAAATTCCACCCCAATGCACCCTCAAACTTCACTGCACCCCAAATTCCACCTTACTGTACCCCCAAACTCCACCCCCTGACCCCCAATGCACCCTAAACCCACCCTAATACACCCTCTGACCCCATTGCACCCCAAATTCCGCCCCATTGCACCCCTAAACCCCACTGCACCCCATCATTGCCCCCATGGCCCTGCTGTCCCTGTTCTGTGTCCCCATGCCCCCACACCCCCGTGTCCTCAGTGTCCCCCACACCCTCGATGTCCCCATGTCCCCTACAATGCCATGTCCTGTGTCCTCTGTGTCCCCAATGTCCCCATGTCCCCCACACCCCTAATGTCCCCCACATCCCTGATGTCCCCAGGTCCCCCACACCGCTGATGTCCCTAATAACCCTCTGATGTCCCCAATGTCCCCAGTATCCTCCATGTCCCCCCCATCCCCAATGTCCCACAATATCCCCAGGTCCCCAGTCCCTGACACTGTCCCTGTCCCCTCTGTCCCCATGTCCCCTGGGTGTCCCCTATGTCCCTGACTGTCCCCTGTGTGTCCCCAGAAGCTCGAGGGCTCTCGGAGCCGGGGACAGCTCCTGATCTTCGGTGCCACCAACTGGGACCTGATCGGCCGCAAGGAGGTGCCCAAGCAGCAGGGTAATTAATTAATTCATTGATTAATGGGCTAATTACAGCTCATTAGTGATTAATGAACTGTGAGGGACAGAGTAGGGCTGCTAATTACTTAATTAATTAATTGATTGCAGCTAATTAGTCATTAATGAACTGGGGCAGGGTAAGGCTGTTAATTAATTCATTAATTGGGGTTATTTAGTCATTAATGAACAGTAATGGGCAGGGTAGGGCTCGTTAACGGCTGTGATTAATTGGTATTAATTAATAATCAATGAATGTATTGAAGCAGGGCAGGGGCTTGTTAATGGTCGATTAATTAATTTGCATCAATTAGTAATTAAGGAACAGTATGGGACAAGGTAGAGGCTCTTTACAGGTGGGATTAATTTGGGTTAATTAGTAATTTATTAATGATTTGGAGCAGGGTAGCATTTAGCAAAGCCAAATTAGGACTTTGTTTATTTTGGATGCATTAGTAGTTTGTTAATTTTTGTGATTATTTGATATCGTTCTATTTAATAAATTTAATTAATTATTAATTAGGGAGGGAGTCAGAGTTCAATCTCTTAATTTGGGTCTCCAGCAAAGCCAAATTAGGATTTTCTTTATTTTGGATGCAGTTGTAGTTCGTTAATTTTCCCAATTATTTTCATCTAGTTTTAGTTAATTAATTTAATTAATTAACTGGTGGAGGAGCCACAATTTCACCCTTAATTGGGGCGGGGCACGGGCTCTGCTGCAAAGCCAAATGAGGAATTTGTTTAGTTTTTAGTTCATTAATTGATCTCCTTCTTTCAGGGGGTGGTATTTAATTAATATTAAAAACTAGGATTGAAAATTAATTAATGTTAATTAATTAATTGAAAATTAATTAACTTGGGGGAGACTGTAGATCTTCAATCTCCGGATTTCCTGGAGGATTTTCTGGCATGGTTTTCCCGGGTGGTTTTCCTTGATGATTTTCTCAGATTTTCCTGGATTCTTTTCCGGGATAATTTTTCCAGATGATTTTCTGATGATTTCCTCGGTTTTCCGAAATTTTCCTGGAATTCCCAGATGATTTTCCTGGATTGTCCTGGATTTTCCTGGGATATTTTCCCAGATAATTTTTCTGGATGGTTTTCCTAAATTTTCCTGGATGATATTCCAAGATTATTTTCCTAAATTATTTTCCTGGATTTCCCCTGATGCTTTTCCCATATTTTCCTGGATTCTTTTCCTGAATAATTCTTCCAGATAATTCTCCCAGTTTTCCTGGATTTTCCTGGAATTCATGGATGATTTTCCAGGATGATTTTCCCACTTTCCTGGATGATTTTACTTGATTTTTTCAGATTATCTTCCTGGATTGTCTTGGATTTTCCTGGATGGTTTTCCCAAATGATTTTCCTGGTTTTCCCGATTTTCCTGGTATTCCCAGATGATTTTCCGAGACGATTTTCCTGGATTTTTGTGGATGATTTTTCTGGATTGTCCTGCATTTTCTGGATTATTTTCCAGGACGATTCCCAGATCTTCCTGGATTCTTTTCCCTGATGATTTTCCCAGATTATTTTCCTGGAATTCCCAGATGATTTTCCCAGATTATTTTCCTGGATTGTCCTGGATTTTCCCGGATGATTTTCCCAGATGATTTTCCCCAATTTTCCTGGGTGATTTTCCCAGATTGTCCTGGATTTTCCTGGATGATTTTCCCAGATGATTTTCCTGGATGATTTTCCCAGTGTTCCTGGTTTTCCCAGATTATTTTCCTTGATTATTTTCCTGGATGATTTTCAGGGATTTTCCTGACTATTTTCCTGTATTTTCCCAGATTATTTTCCCAATATTCTTGGTTTTTCTGGATGATCTTCCGGGGTTGTTTTTCCAGCTGATTTTCCTGGATGATTTTTCAGGATTTTCCTAAATGACTTTTCAGGATTCTTTTCCAAAATTATTTTCTGTGATTATTTTCCCAGATGATTTTCCTGGATTTCCCCACATGATTTTCTGGGATTATTTTCCTGGATTATTTTCCCGGATGATTTTCCCAAACGATTTTCTCAGATGATTTTCCTGGTATTCCCAGATGATTTTCCTGCACGATTTTAGGGATTTTCCCGGATTATTTTCCTGGATGATTCCCCTGGCCTGTTTCTTCCCCGGTTGCTTTTCCCAGACGTTCCTTTCCCAGTGAGGCAGATCCGGGATTTTCCGGGTGTTTTCCTGGTATTCCCGGCTGATTTCCTGGTTGTTTTCCTCGGCTGTTCCTGTCCCTTTAGGGCTGATCCCAGATTTCCTGGCTGATCCCGGATTTCCTGGCTGTTTTCCCGGGATGTTCCTGTCCCTTTGGGGCTGATCCCAGATTTCCTGGCTGATCCCGGATTTTCTGGCTGTTTTCCCGGGATGTTCCTGTCCCTTTGGGGCTGATCCCGGATTTCCTGGCTGTTTTCGTGAATTTCCTGGCTGTTTTCCCGGGATGCTCCTGTCCCTTTGGGGCTGATTCCGCATTTCCCGGCTGTTTTCTCGGGATGTTCCGGTCCCGATGGGCGGGGCTGATCCTGGATCTCCCAGCTGATCCCGGATTTCCTGGCTGTTTTCCCCAGCCGTTCCCGTCCCTTTGGGGCTGATCCCGGATTTCCCGGCTGTTTTCTCGGGATATTCCTGTCCCGATAGGCGGGGCTGATCCCGGATTTCCCGGCTGTTTTCCAGCGGCGTACCGGAACCTGGGCCAGAACCTGTGGGGGCCGCACCGCTACGGGAGCCTGGGGTCGCTGCGGGTGCGCTCGGTGGTGTCGGGGCCCTGCGCCGCGCACAGCCTGCTCATCACGGCCGAGGGCCGCCTCTGGAGCTGGGGTGAGCCCTGGAAGTGCCCAGGGGAGCGGGAACGTGGCAAAAAACTGACCCAGGATAAAGGGAATGTAACGAAAATCTGATCTGGGGTAACGGGAACGTAACAAAAAACTGACCTGGGATAATGGGAATGCAACAAAAAACTGACCTGGGATAACGGGAATGTCTAAAAATCCTGCCCAGGGGAACAGGAATGTACCAAAAAACTGACCCGGGATAATGGGAATGTGACAAAAAACTGACGTGGGATAAAGGGAATGTAACGAAAACTGACCTAGGATAACGGGAACGTAACAAAAAACTGCCCTGGGATAACGGGAATGTGATAAAAAACTGCTCTGGGATAACAGGATTGTCCCAAAAACCTCCTCTGGCATAATAGGATTGTCCCAAAAGTCTCCCCTGGGATAATGGGATAGTACCAAAAACCTGGCCTGGGATAATGGGATTGTACCAAAAAAACTCCCCTGGGATAACGGGATTCAACCTAGAAAATTGCTGGGATAACAGGGTTCAGCCCGAAAAGCTGCCCTGGGATAATGGGATTCATCCAAAAAGATTGTCCTGGGATAACGGGGCTCAGCTTGAAAACCTCCCCTGGGATAACTGGATTGTCCCAAAAACCTGCTAGGATAACAGGATCCTCCCAGAAACGTCCCCTGGGTTGATGGGGTTCATCCCAAAAACCCCCTGGGATAACGAGATTGTCCCAAAAACCTCCTGTGGGGTCATGGAGTTCAGCTCGGGAATGCACCTGGGATAACGGAGCTCATCCCAAAACCTGCCCTGGGATAACAGGGTTCATCCTGTAAAACTGTCCTGGGATTCCTCCCAAAAGCCTCCCCTGGAATTCTGGGATTTGTCCCAAAAGCCTCCCTTGGAATTCTGGGATTCCCCAGGGAGCTGGGAAGGGGCTCAGCCTGCAGAAAAACGGGATCGAGTGGTGACCCATGGCTCTGGAATTCCCTGTCAGGAGGGGGCAACGGGGCTGGGATTCATTCCCAGGGAACCGCGGGATGAGAGGGAACAGCCCGGGGGGAACTTTGGGAAAACATTTCCCTGGAAAACGCGCTTGGGAATCGGAAGGAGCTGCCCGGGAGTCGCCATCCCATGGAAAGCCAGGATGTGGCGCTCGGGGACGGGCCGAGATTTCCCCTTCGCGGCATTCCGGGTTTTTTTGGGATGTCCCCAGGCCGGAACGAGAAGGGGCAGCTGGGCCATGGGGACACGAAGCGCGTGGAGGCTCCGCGGCCGATCGAGGCCCTGGCCGGGGAGTCCATCGTGGCGGCGGCGTGCGGCCGGAACCACACCCTCGCACTGACCGGTACGGAACCGGGGGGATCCCGGGAAACGCAGCCCCAGCCCCGGGAACCATACTGAATCCCGGGAAACACTGCCCCGATCCCGGGGAATACTGCCCCGATCTCGGGAAACACTGCCCCTCCTGGGAAATGTGGCCTCATCCCCAGAAACTTCGCTGAATCCCAGGAAAAACTGCCCTGATCCCGGGGAACACTGACTAATCCTGGGAGACACTGCCCATTCCCAGGAAACTGCACCAAAGCCAACCCTATGGCCAAAATCCTGGGAAAACTGCCCCAAATCTGACCCTTTCACCCCAAAATCTGGGAAAACTGCCCCAAAACGCACCCCTTTCTCCTTAAATTCTTCCCCCTTGCTACCCCAAATCTGCTTTTTCCTCCCCCAAATTCCCATTGTTCCAGCAGAGAGCGGCTCCATGTTTGCCATCAGGGAGAACAAGCTGGGCCAGCTGGGGCTGGGGAACCTTCAGTCCCGAAATCCTCCCCTTTTCCCCAAAATCTGCCCCTTTAGCCTCGAATCCACCCCTTTTCCCCCCCAAATCCCCACCTTTTTTTCCCAAAAATCTGGGAAAATTGCTCCAAAATCCACGCCTTTTCCTTTAAAATCTGCCCATTTTGCCCAAAATCTGCCCCTTTTGGCTCCAAATTCTGGGAAAACTGCCCCCAAATCTGACCCTTTTTCCCCCTAAATCTGCCCCTTTTTCCCCAAATTCCACGCCTTTTTCCCAAAAATCCATGAAAACTGCCCCAAAATCTACCTCTTTCCCTACAAAATCTGCCTTTTCCCCCCAAATCCATCCTTTTTGCCCCAAATTGAGGCAAAAACTGCCCCTTTTGCCCCTAAATCTGCCTTTTTTTTGAAAATCTGCCCCCTTTTCCCCAAATTTCACCCCTTTTTCCCAAAAATCCGTGAAAACTGCCCTAAAGTCCACTCCTTTTCCTACAAAATCTGCCCCTTTTCCCCCAAATTCTGGGAGAGCTGTCCCAAAATCCCTTTTTTTTTTTCTCCCCAAATCCCCGTTGTTCCGGCAGAGAACGGCTCCGTGTTTGCCTTCGGGGAGAACAAGCTGGGCCAGCTGGGGCTGGGGAACCAGACGGACGCCGTGCCCAGCCCCACCCAGGTACGGATTTGGGGGGAAATCCCGGGATTTGGGGGCTTTTCCTGAAATATTCCTGAAATAAAAACCCCTCGGGATGCAAAATTCCCTCTCAGCTGGGAGCCGTTCCCAGCTCCCGCAAAAGCCATCGAATTTTTGAGGATTTCGGGATTTTCTGATAGAAATTCACCTTTTTTCCCCTCATTTCCCATTTTTTTGATCCCGTTTTTCTGGCTTTTCCTGCAGATCAGGGACTTCCCTTGGAAATTCCCCTCTTTTTCCTTTTCCCTGTGTTTGTGGATCCCATTTTTCCTGCTTTTCCCACAGGTCAGGGATTTCCCATGGAAATTCCCTTTTACCTTTTCTGATCTTGATTTTCCAGCCATTCCCAAATTTTCTCATCCGAATTTTCCAGCTGTTCCCACAGATCAGGGATTTCCCCTGGAATTTCACCTTTTTCCTGCATTTCTGATCCCATTTTTCCCCACATTTTTCAATCTCCTTTTTCCAGTGGATCAAGGATTTCCTGTGGAAATTTGCCTTTTTTTCCCTTTTCCTGTGTTTTTCCCATTCTGTTTTTCCTGCTTTTCCCGTATTTTTCTGATCCCTTTTTACCTGCTCTTCCCATGTCTTTTGATCCCATTTTTCCATCTCTTCCCATCTTTTTTTCTCTCACATTTCCAATCCCATTTTCCCTTTTTCCCGTTTTCCTGATCCCATTTTTCCCGTTTTCCTGATCCCATTTTCCCAGTTTTTCTGATCCTATTTTTCTGGCTATTCCCATCTTTTTGATCCCCATTTTCCTATTTTCCTGTACTTCCGATCCTGTTTTCCCTTTCTCTTGGTTTTTCTGATCCCCTTTTTCCCCTTTCTCCTGGTTTTTCTGATCCCATTTTCCTTTTTTCCTGGTTTTCCTGACGCCCTTTTTCCCTTTTCCCCACGTTTCTGATCCTGTTCTGATCCCATTTTCCTGTTTTTCCTGATCCCTATTCCTGTTTTTTTTCCCAGATCCTGTACAATGGGCAGCCAATCTCCAAGCTGGGCTGCGGGGCCGAGTTCAGCATGGTCATGGACTGCAAGGGGAACCTGTATTCCTTTGGGTGTCCGGAGTATGGACAGCTGGGTATGGAAATCTGGGATAATCCCATGGGATCACCCCATGGACTGCAAGGGGAACCTGTGTTCCTTTGGGTGTCCTTTGGAGTACAGACAGCTGGGTACAGGATTTGGGATCATCCTGTGGGATCGGGACTGGTTTGGGATCATCCCATGGGATTGGGACAGTTTGAGGTCATCCCATGGGATTGAGACAGTTCAGGATCATCTCATGGGATCAGGGAAGTTGGGGATGTTCGCCTGAGATCAGGGCTGGTTTGGGATCATCCCATGGGATTGGGGCAATTCAGGACAATCCCATGGGATCGGGGCAGTTGGAGATCATTCCCTGGAATCAGGGCTGTTCGGGATCATTCCCTGAAATCAGGGCTGTTCAGGATCATCCCTTGGGATTGGGGCTGGTTTGGGATGATCCCCTGGGATCGGGGCTGTTCAAGATCATCCCCTGGGATTGGGGCCATTCAGGATGATCCCCTGGGATTGGGGATGTTCAGGACAATCCCCTGGGATCGGGGCTGTTCGGTATGATCCCGCAGTGGCTCAGACTGGCTCTGTCCCCGCTCCCCCGGCGTTCCAGGGCACAATTCCGACGGGAAGTTCATCGCGCGGGCGCAGCGCATCGAGTACGACTGCGAGCTGCTGCCGCGGCGCCTGGCGCTGTTCGTGGAGCGCACCAAGGACGGGCAGGTGCTGCCCGTGCCCAACGTGGTGGTCAGGGACGTGGCCTGCGGGGCCAACCACACGGTACGGGATAGCGGGATAACGGGAATGGGGGCGGGACATGGCCTGCGGGGCCAACCATGCGGTATGGGATAACAGGATAACAGGAATATGGGATAATGTGAGTATGGGATAACGGGATAATGGGAATGGGGGCGGGACATGGCCTGTGGGGCCAACCACATGGTGAGAGGAGTAGGATAATGGGAATATGGGGTAACAGGAATGGGGGCAGGACATGGCCTGAGGGGCCAACCACACAGTACAGGATAATGGGAATATGGGATAACAGGATAACGGGAATGGGGGTGGGACGTGGCCTGAACCACACAGTGAGGGGACTGGGATAATGGGATAACAGGAATATGGGATGATGGGAATGGGGGCGGGACATGGCCTGAGGGGCCAACCTCGGATAACGGGATAGTGGGAATATGGGATAATGGGATAATGGGAATGGGGGCGGGTCATGGCCTGCGGCACCAACCACATGGTACAGGATGAGATCAGGGTAACAGGAATATGGAATAACAGGAATGGAAATATGGGAAAACGGGAATGGGTGCACAACATGGCCTGTGGCACCAACTGTGCAGTACAGGATGGGATCGGGGTAACAGGAACGGGATAACAGGAATGGGACAGGGTACGGGACATCACCTGTGGGGCCAACCACACCGTGAGGGGAATGGAAATGGGTGTGGGAATGGGATTAGCAATGACAGTGACTGGGATGGAAATGGGAATGGGATTGGGAATGGGATCAGGAATGGGATTGGGAATGTGTGCAAGATGTGGCCTGCAGAGCCAACCATGCCATATGAAATGGGAATGGTAACAGGAACAGGAATGGGAGCAGGAATGAAAACAGAAGTAGGAATGAGAATAGGAGTGGGAGAGTCAGGAGTGGGAATGGGAGAGTCGGAATGGGAGAGACCAGCTCTCAGCCTCTGCTCCCTCCATCCCAGCTGCTGCTGTATTTCCAGGAATGTCTTTTCCCGAGATTATTGGGATCTCTGAGCCTCTGCTCCCTCCCTTGCTCCATCCCAGCTGGTGCTGCATTCCCAGAAGCGCTTCTTTTCCTGGAGATCTGGGATTTTTCGGGATCTCTGAGGCCGTTCTCTCTCATTCCCAGCTGGTGCTGGATTCCCAGGAATGTTTTTCCTGGGGGTTTGGGATTTTTGGGATGTCTGAGGCCGTTCTCTCTCATTCCCAGCTGGTGCTGGATTCCCAGAAGCGCGTCTTCTCCTGGGGCTTTGGGGGCTACGGGCGCCTGGGCCACGCGGAGCAGAAGGACGAGATGGTTCCCAGGCTGGTGAAGCTCTTCGACTTCCCGGGACGCGGCGCCTCCCAGATCTACGCGGGATACACCTGCTCCTTCGCCGTCAGCGAGACAGGTGGGGTGCGGGATTCGGGAATGCCGGGAGTGCTGGGGGAGATGTCAGCGAGACAGGTGGGAATGTGGGAGTCCTGAGAATGCTGAGGAGGCCATCAGCAAGACAGGTGGGATTTTGGGAATCTGGGATTTGGGAATGCTGGGGGAGATGCCAGTGAGACAGGTGGGAATGCGGGAATTTGGGAATGCCAGGGTCTGGGATTTGGAGGTCCAGGGGGAGATGCCAGTGAGACAGGTGGGAATCCGGGATTTGGGAATGCTGGAATTACTAGGGGATCTGTCAGTGGGACAGGTGAGATTCCCCAGAATCCGGGATTTGGGAATGCCAGGGAGCTGTGGCCTTGCATCTAGCATTCCAGGGATCCCTGGGGGGTGGGATTCCCAGGGATCTGAGATTTGGGAATGCCAGGGGAGCTGTCAGCGAGACAGGTGGGAATCTGGGAATCCGGGATTTGGGATTTGGGAATGCTATGGGAGATGTCAGCAAGACAGGTTGGAATTGGGGATTTGGGAATGCTGGGAAAGATGTCAGCGAGACAGGTGGGAATCCGGGATTTGGGAATGCTGGGGGAGATGTCAGCGAGAGAGGTGGGAATCACAGGATTCAGGAATGCCAGGGGGGCTGTCAGCAAGACAGGTAGGAATGCCAGGATCCCTGGATTTGGCAATGCTGGGAGAAAGGTGGACTGAGTAGTGGGATTCCCAGGGATCCTGGGATTTGGGAATGCTGGGGGAGCCATCAGTGAGACAGGTGGGATTCCCAGGATTTGGGAATTTTGGGATCCGTGCCCTGACAGGTGGGATTCCCAGGGGTCCCTGACAGGTGGTATTCCCAGGCTTTGGGAATTCTGGAATTTGGGAATTCCAGGATGCATGCCCTGACGGGTTCCCTTGCAGGTGGATTGTTCTTCTGGGGTGCCACCAACACTTCCCGGGAATCCACGATGTATCCCAAAGCTGTGCAGGATCTGTGCGGATGGAAGATCCGCAGCCTGGCCTGTGGGTGAGTGAATCCCAACATTCCCACATTCCCAGCATTCCTGGGATTTGGGTGCTCTCACGCTCAGCGCTCTCCTCCCTCGCAGGAAGAGCTCCGTGATCGTGGCGGCCGACGAGAGCACCATCAGCTGGGGACCCTCACCCACCTTCGGGGAGCTGGTACTGACCCCCAAAAAACCCCAATGACACCCCCAAAAACCCAAAATGATGCCCCAGAAACCCCAAATCCCCCAAACTAACATTCCAAAAACCCCAAATGTCCCAAGGGGACACCCCAAATCCCCCAAACCCATTGGACCTGCCCCTCCGGCGCCGTTGACCATCCCCTGTCCATGGGGTGTTCCCACAGGGATATGGGGACCACAGACCCAAATCCCCCAAATCC